ATGTCCCAAGTCAACCTATTCGAAATTTAAATTATTATGTCATCGCAGTATCGCGCTGTCCGTAGAACAAATGAAGACTAAAGCGGAGTGTCGCGCTCTTTATACGATTTTAGCGCCTTACAAGTGCGGACACTTTTTAGCGCGGACCCGACGTCCATATAATTGTAAGTCAATGATATAAACGGAAAATTAATTACTTCCTCTTTAATATGAAATACAAGTAGTCAGTTTTTTCTTTGTAATCTTATTCAAATATTCAGAAGAATATATTCATCATGCGTGACCTAATTGTTGTCTGAACTTTGTTAAATATGCTTATATGTAATATGGCATTGTGTGTTACAAACTAATTTATAACTTAACGCTTACTAATATGGGTAGATGGCGCTTATCCTAAGCAGGAATAGCCGGCAGTACCTATCCATAAAAATTGCTATAAGCGTCATCTAGTTGATTTGTTTGTTATCACTAGAAATTACAATAGCTTTGATAAATTGCATCAATGTAAAACAAATAGTTACAAAACTAGCTTGGTACTCGTCGCGACATATGGTGTACAAATAGGTACTATATACCTGACTACCCGCCCAGTTACCACGCCTTCATGTGCATTAATGGCGAAACTGAATTCTATTTACTAGGCAACGACATTTAATTCCTCTGAATCATACAACCGCGCGGTCGTTGTGTAGCCCAAATTCAAGCCAGTCTCGTCCGCGTGTCCGGGATGCTCATTTAAGTTAAAACGTAAAAGCTAAATAATTAGAGCGTATTTTACCATGACAGTTAGACGCACGCGGTCGCTGCGCGTCGGAAACACGGACTCCGCTCTGCGACTTCGTGAGCGCGATAAAATTCGTGTCAAATAAATGCGCCCTTATCAGTCGTCTTGAATTAGGGTGTACTACGTGAGTGCGAATGCCGATAGTGCGAAGACGGTTGCGCGAAAGCTTAAAAGCACGATAGTTCATTTGCGCGAATGATGATAGCACGAAGAGAGATTTGCGAAAGCTGGAAGTTAAATTAATTGTTGCAAGAATACCCTAATAAACTTTTACAAAAATAAACGTATAGTTTATTATGAAAGCTTTGCATTGCAAAGAATTGCAACAACCTGCAGCCACGGGAGTCGAATGTCTCTTTGTGCTATAGTCATTCGCGCAAATAAACTATCACGCATTCAAACTTTCGCGCAAATGAACTATCACGCATTCAAACTTTCGCGCAAATGAACTATCGCGCAACTGGCCATTCGCGCAAATGAACTATCGCGCATTTAAGCTTTCGTGCAACCGTCTTCGCACTATCGTCATTCGCGTAATCGGCATTGGTATTCACGTAGTACATCCCTTGAATTATTGGTCCACGGTGTTAGTAACACCGCATCATAGTTGTGTTTACACCTATGTATTTCGTTATAATGCCATTTAGCACACACCGGATGTACGTATGTACAACAATAATAATTATTATTGTACGAGTATAACAAGTAGACCAACTCCCGCCTGTTCGGCACGCCTCGGAGCGTATGGTTGTCACATTATTTTAGTTGAAATTTTTTTTTAATTATGCTTACAACGTGTAGGTTGTATATATAATTTTTAAAGGTGCTTCCTTTAATATTGAAATAACCTTTGTTAAATGCAGTATTTACGTATTAATCATATTAATAATATTTGAGAGGCATCTCGATTATGGCAGTATGATTATGAAATGCTGAACAATTCTATTGTTGAGGTACTCTTGTGCAAATAACCATAGAGACAACAATAAACACGTTTATTTGATGCTATTTTTTAAATACTGAGCAAATCTTGAGCTAACGCTTCTGCCTCGGTGGCTGAACGGTTATCAGACTGCCACGCAGAGGTCCCAGTTTTGATTCCGGGCGGGGAGACATGATGTGTCCATGGCACCTGCGACACAGGGTTTCCCTAGTGTGGGTTATGTTGAGTGTGTGCGTTATAAAAAAATCTACAAAGAATGACGCATAGACCTGCGTGGGTTTTCCGTCCCCCGATCGGTAGGAGGAGCGGGCACATTTTTCCCATGCCTCCGATTGAATGTTTTTTAAATTTCTTAGATATTTCGCCAAAAGTACAGCCAATAAAAATAATGTACGAGGGCGACACTGAGTTTTTTAGAACTGGCTACTTAGAAACAGTAAAATAAATTATTTGAATTTTAAAAATAGTATTCTTCGATATCCTTATCGAGTATATTTCATTTATTCTTACAAATTGGCGAACAAGTTGAAAATTGTTTGTTTCACGTCAAGATGAATTTAACTCGAGAAAATTTTAGTGCAATGATTTTCTACGACTTTTGTTGTGATTTAAGTCAACAAGAAAGTTATGACAGACTTCGGTTGGCCTTTCATGATGATGCTCCATCCCGTGCCACTGTTTATAACTGGTTCAATGAGTTTAAACGTGGTCGCACTACTGTTTCTGATGCCCTGCGTGAGAGACTGCCTTCAACTGCGGTGGCTGAATTCTGTAGTTTGGGCATTGGTATGAGTTAAGTGCACAAAATCCTTCATGAACATTTAGCGGCTAGATTTTTATTTGACCGAAGTATAAAAATTCCGTCGTGATATGTTACAATAATTAGACGTAGGCCACTGAAATGCTGTATTCGATATAGTCACGGGTGACGAAAGCTGGAATTACTGTTACGATCCAGAAACTAAACGACAGTCTGCTCAGTGAGTGTTTCCTTTAGAAGAATTGTCTATAAAAGTAAAGCGAGGTCGAAGCGTGGGAAAGAAGATGGTAGCCTCATTTTTCGGACGGAAATGGTTGCCAACAATTGCTTGCGACTAGTGTTGGAAAAAGTTCGGGAGAAACGACCTCGCAGTAGGATCCTGCTTCATCATGACAACGCTTCCGCACACACCGCCCAACGAACAACTGATTATTTGGCGACGTCAGGTGTAGAAATACTACGTCATCCGCCATACAGTCCGGACCTCCGAAAATAAAGGAAAATCTCCGGGGAAAGCGATTCACGGAGGAAGCAGTGGCTGCATTTGAAGAGGCCATAGAAGAGAAAGGAAGAGTAGGCAAAATGCTTCCCTGTGGGTCCATCGAATGCAGCGAAGTGTTGATGTCAATGGACACTATTTTGAAGAAAAATAATAAAAATATTAACTAGCTGGTTTGCTTTGTTTTTGTCATTCTAAGAACTTTCAGTGTGACCCTCGTATAATAAAATAGTACATTGTCCTCTGATTAGTAGGAGCGGGAATATGATTTATATTTTTTAAGTTGTTTATAGAATACCATGAATCGGGACGAACAAGTCGTGCGCCTGATTGTAAGGGACACGCTTATCCATAACAGTGCCACTCGAGTCTTAAATCGCAAAGATCTTAACGACACCGCCATTGGGCCCGTCACCCTGAGACATAAGCTGATAAGTCCCATCCATGTGCATGTAATTTCACCAGCACCCTTACCCTTCCAAACCGGAACGCAGTAATGCTCACGTTACTGCTTGGAAGCAGTGCTTCCGTGGGCGAATTTTTTCACAAGGAGCTCTACTTTTACTAATATAGTAATGGTATTTACTAGCATAACATTTATAAATCTATCTTTTAACTGTAGTCCTTCGCAGTTTGATTAGTACTATCAATGTTTTTTTTTCGTCTTATTGTACTTCAGTTAGTATAGTAATTGAAGTTTATTTTATACTAAAAGAATTTAATATAATATTGAACAAAATATAGTTTTATTTTCCACTAGACTGTACAACGATTATATGATGTTCAATCGGAGGCATGGGAAAAATATTCTCGCTTCTACCAATCGGAGGACAGGAAAAACCCGACTCGCACTATGCAACGTCAGTGCACCGAAAGATTATGCAAATGTGTGCAAGTACAACGCGAGTGTACATTGATGCGCCGAACAGGTCTTATAGCAGCACCTTGCCACAGAAAATTGAAACATCAGGTTGTACCAAACCAAAATCACTTTTATTTACACGTCAGAGTTTTACATGAAACCTTGTATAATATTACGACAAATGATATCCAAGCAAAAAAAATCATTTAAAAGTGAAATTAATCTAAAACTTACCATTAGCGAACAACATTATTATAACATTCCAATATTTTGTACTCTTTAAAATGTGATAAATTACAAAACATAAGACAATGATGCGAATAATCTCACAATAATTACTATGTAAATTAATTATTAAAATGCTACAAAATCCATTAATAATTATAATTAAAAGAGTATTAGCAAAGCTTGCCAAGTATATGCTAACAATACATACTATGTATAAAAACTGTTCATATCCGGCGCGAGTTGATTCACAATCGTTTTGAGTCCAAGATTACTTATTGTTTAAATCCTAAGGATTTATTAGTCAATTCTTGCGTATAATTGCCTCAAATACGCCGAAAGCGTTTTTAACAACAGCAAAATCACTTATAATTTTAATGTAATAATTTACTATCAAAACTAAGTATTTAGGCGTCTTGACAGCAAATTCTTACAAGTTTACAATAGCCGATTTATATTTAAAGTTTTCTAGAGGAAGACAGTATATTATACAAAAAAAAAAGGCGGTGAGCAGGGAAAACAATATTGGAATGTAAGTTTCGGTATAAATATTTGGTTTGTTACTATTGAAAGTTAAATGCGGCGGTACAATTTTGGTTTCATTATTCAAACTGTTACTTAGGAAACTTATAGTTTCACTAGGTCTACGTTTATCTCCTACAACATCAGAGGCGTTATTATCTTCGTCGAAAATCGGTGGTACAATTCAAATGCCATAAATTTCCGTGGCACATAACAAGATTTTAAAAAATAAAGAAAGTTTCAGTCTTTCCTTCATAAAGTTCTAAATAAAGTTTGCAATAAACTGCCTTTGCAATAATGCCGCATTCAAAGGTATGGTGTTAACAATACTAATTCGTCTAATTTCACTACCTAAGCTCTAATTTGGCAGTGTAGTTTTGTTAGGTGTACTAGTATTACACTATGACGAACTTATAATCAAAGGTCGAAAGCCTTGGAATTAATAATACAAACGTAAGGTCAACTAAATACTTTAAAATTAATTATCCACTTTATACACTTACTTTAATGAAGCAGGGTTAGGTCACGTTTGTAGACAACTCTGGTATTCGAATTTTGCTAACCTCATAAATACAAGATATAGAAGAAATTATATACCCATCTCGGTATACAAAAATATCCACGAAACATATTCGTGATCATAGCACATTAAGATATCGAAGAATGAATGATATACCAATCCCGGTACACAAAAATATCAACGAACAGATTTGGTACACCTCAGATATTGAAGTACTTCCTGCTTTCTATACAGGCGCTGTATTGAAGCATAGCGAAAGCAATTGCATGAAAAAATATTCAACACGGGCGCAGTTATTTTGCACGACTTAACCGTGACTGGGTAAGTGGAGTAGCAAATTAATTTACTTCCAATTTATTTAACACGGTTTTCAGCGAAGTAACGCCTGAATCTATAAGACAATTTAAATCAAAAGCACCAACTAAGTTTGTCCAAGTATTTATCTATACTTACAATCGAATTCCACGACTTTCGACACCAGTCTATCGTACTTAGCGCAAGCCAACTGTGGCTCCTTGCACTCAAGATTTACGTTTCTTTCGTAAAAAACGTAATCTTAATTTATTCTTTACACTATCATTAATGTCGAATTTGTATTACCATATTCATATACTACGGTATTTATTTCTTAACTAATGTTTTATGCATCTCGATCTTGATGCGATACAATCGTTTAACCTGAATTAAGCCAGACCAAAATTTCCAACTTAAAATTTTGGTCTGTCAGCTAGATCTATTAACATTCGTAAAATGCTACATTTACGAAAAACTGACTGCGACCCATATTAATAAATTCATCAAACATTTTAATTAACAGGTGATTTGATTACGCATCATTACAAAATTACGGCTTACGAGCATAAGTGAACATTACTCACAACTCAAAACAAGAGCAGTCTTAGCTACTTGCGATGATATTATCCAAGATATTTTGTTCTGATTAAATCAAGATAATTAAATTTACTATAAAGTTAATAAACTTCTAAGCTGTTTATTAATACGGGCTACGAATCAAAAGAAAGGTTGATGATTTTGCAAAATTTACAAAGCCGTGATTTTTGTGACACCTTATGCAATGACCACAAAAGTTTATCAAACAATTTCCATTGCTGCGAGTCTTTTTTAACAGTGACCGGCCAAAAAAATCGGTGCACATATCAGAAACACAGAATTAAGCTACATAGCATAGTGCCCTAGTAAATGACATTATAATATATGGAATGACAATTTGTATTTCTTACATTATATGCCATTTAGTGAAGACGTGATGATGCAACGCTTCCAAACGTAGACGAACCTCAGCTGGAGAGAGCCGAGTCCTCAATCAGAGGTACTTTGGCCACTTCGAAGAATATCGTATGCGAATATTTGTTCCTCACAGTGCTGATAGCTGATTTTGGCTTCTTGTGCAACGCTGCGTTTTGCGCTAGAGCGATAGGTAGGAAATCCTTCAGCGCGTAACCTAAAAATTAAAACGTGATATGTTATTATTACTTAAATAAAATTGATGTTTGTTTTTTATGAACTGGGATTACAAGGGTCTAATATTCGTCTATAAAATACCAAATTATTTTAACAGCAGGTTATATGAAAGCACCTATTGGGATAATTTTATTTTACAAATTTACTAATATGATAGATCAATGTAGAGAACATAAAACAATCTCTAACTGTCGTATATTAAAAAAATTCAAAAGAATGAAAAACATAACGAAAGTCTCGATGGCCCACTGCGAGCGCTGGATGAGGAGGTCTCGGGTTTGATACCCTGTAAGATCAATTTTAAACAGGTTGTGGGTAGTGCCCAAATGTGTATTTCATGCCGAAGTACTCATAGTGCTGGGCATTCTCTAGTTTGAGGCCAGTTTATGTGGTTCTCGGGCATATTATTACTTATTGTAGAATATCGTGTTACAAATTTAGTGAATTAGCCCATGCCGAATAATAATTATTTTATTAATATCGGAACGTTTTAATAAAGGAAACTTAGACTAGAGATTTACGGGTAAGTAGTCGTTTTGCGGTATAAACTCATTTTCTTATTTTTTTAAATTAGGTTACTTTCATTCTAAAGGTGCGATATAATATAAACACAACATCCGAAATGATAAATAATTTATCTGTACGATTGTTGAGTATTTAACATACAACTGTTATTTTTATGCAACATTGCCAACCCAGGCGTCAACTATCCTCTCAGTTGTTCAAGGGTTACGAGAGAAGAAATCCATTTATGGGATAAGATCGCCTTTGTACACTTAAAAGTTATTTCATTGCTAACTGTCCTAAATTATTTTGTAATTCAATAAAGTTTTTACATACATAATAGTTTTTTTAATAACATCAAGTGACGGGACGAACCAGTCGTGCGCCTGATAGTAAGGTACACGCCTGTCCATAACAGTTGCAGTGCCACTCAGAGCTTTATATCGCAAATATCTGTCGAGCAATGTCACTGCGCCCGTCACGCTGAGACATAAGTTGACAAGTCCCATGTGCCTGTAATTTCACCAGCACCCTTACCCTTCAAAACCGGAAAACAGTAAAACTGACATTACTGCCTAGAGGCAGAAATAGGCATAGTGGCAGTACTTCCCTGGACGAACTCTTTCACATGGAGCTCTACTGCTACTGAAGTGCAAGAGTAAGTAACTAAGTGCAATTAAAGCAAGTAAGAATGCATACTTCGTTTTCTTAATTTTATAAACGCCCATTCAAACTTCATTGGGTGTTGTGTGAAAATACCTAATCTGGAACCAGAAATTGTTGTGTCCACACAATTGCCAGTTGTTTTACCTTTCTGTAGTAAATGTTTATGTCCACAATTACTTCATACAAATATTTTTGTAATGCTTATTATACTTAGTATCACGCCTTTTGCGACAGTAAAGGACAATAGCATCTTAGCTGACTGTTTCCGATTATTGTAATTTTCAAGGGCAGACGTGTTTTTAAAATATGCATAACAGAAAAGAAAACTTGGGAATGAATGGTTAAGTTCATAAACCAATTTAGCAGGATTAGGCATTGAACAAAAAAAGATTAGTTGAAAATTACAAGTTGACAATTCTTTTTTTTAAGTATTATCTTGGATTATTAAATGAACGTGAAAGATTATTATTGGCATAAAGAATGAGATATTGGCATAAAGAAATCCCGAAGACATTAAATCAGGGTTCGAAGTGATATTTATCTTGATAAATATACCTTATCCTTGTTGTTCAAGTGTCCAAACGAGTCAAATGTCAATCTCAAAAAAAAAAAAAAAGAAATCCAAATCATATTCCCACAGATTTTTCTTCGTGTTTATTTACTGTCATTTTCAGTAAAAAAAAAAAAACTATGAATTAGCATGTATAATTATCAAGAAAAATATATATCTTTCATTTCGAACCCCGGTTTAAGGAAATAATATTTTGTACTTAACGATAGAAAAATACGTGATACGACGGCACTGGTCCTGATTTTATCGGTGACAAATACCAGGTGACATTAATTTAGAAACAACTTTTGTAGTATCTAGGGCAAGTACCTGTGTAATACTGCAGTGTTGAAGTCCATCCTCCAAGTGACTTCATTCTAAGCGCGAGGTATAGAGCGGCGGCGGCCATCTTGCTGTCAGAATAGCCTAGGAGACCATATTCTAGGAGACCTTGTTCTAGCACGAACCGTGCTAGAGTTAATGTTGGCATGGAGACTCGTGCGCACTGTCAAAAAAAATCATACGTTTTTATCATGTTTTATTACCATTATTTATTTAAATATATAATACCACGTGACGGAACGAACAAGTCGTGCGCCTGGTGGTAAGCGGCATGCCTATTCATAACAGTTGTAGTGCCATTCAGAGCTTTAAATCGAAAAGATCTTATGGGCACTGCCACAGCGCCCGTCACCCTACATAAGTTGACAAACCCCACGTGCCTGTAACACCCTTAGCCTCCAAAACCGGAACGCAGTAATGCTCACATTACTGCTTTGCGGCAGAAATAGGTGAAGTGGCAGTACTGCAGCTATTCCGCCACCTATACCCTGAGAGATAATGTGACAAATCCCATGTGCTTATAATTTCACCAGCACCCTTACCCTTCTAAACCGGAACGCAGTAATACTCACATTACTGCTTGGCGGCAGAAATAGGTAAGGTGGCCGTGCTTCCCTCGACGAACTCTTTCACAAGAAGTTCTACTGCTACTAAAAATATACCGTTGAACTCGAAATTACAATATTTACACCCAATCCCCTGACTGTCTGACGATTTAGGATTATGATTTATAAAAATGTAATAAACCCGTTGAAATGCTTTACAATGTATCAAGCCACTTTTACAAAAATAGAGGAAAGAAAACTACAGACTCACTCTGGCATACCGCCTTAGAAAGCGGTAGGATAGTGGAATACCGAGATCGAAGTCAATGACACGTAAGATGGTTATCTCCATCTTGAGCAGTTGGCTGAGCGAGTACGCGCCGTCGCAGATGTACAGAAAGTCGTCGGCCAGTGGAGGAATCCGCTCCTGAAGAAAATAATAATACAGCTAAGGGTCATGATGTTACAAGATGTACACATCAGTAGTGGCTGTTTCAACCAACATAATTTTAAGTTCATCAGACATAAAGCCAAATACACCCTGGGTGTCGAGCGGCTGGAGCCTGCCACATTGTGAATTTCAATTTGTTTGTGGTGAGGGTGCCGATCGACCATCGTCGACCTTCATGAAGGAAGAATTTTGGCTGAAGGGTGTCCATATATTAGCGATTCCGCGGCTTACACCTGTTACCTGACACCAGATTGCGCCACACGTCGCTGATAATTGCAATTCGTGTAGATTAATTACAAATAGTAGATTGTACAACAAGTGCATAAACGCGGCTCTTTACCCGAGCCGCATTGGAGCGAGATTGGATACTTAAGCCGAGGGTAAAATGGGTTTTATGAACGAGTTATACACTCTGCTTTTCACTTCGATTGCAAGGAAATTAAACAGCAATATTACAAATAAACGATTATTTAATTAAAATTGAATGTAAAATTACAACAATTAGACCTATTTAATGTGATGGCTTTTTTTATTTTATGCACTAGAGCATAATATCCTATTTTATGCAGCCTACACCCATAAATATGTATGTGCATAAATACGAACTTTAAAGGCATGAGAAGTGAAATAGTGTTTTATTATATTGTATGTCTAAACTAAATAAATAAAAAACAGGCGTTTATCAATTCAAATCAATTTGACGTTATTCACGGTTAATGATTTTGTCTATATTGCAATCAGATTTTTTTTTTATCATATGACAAATTGAGAGATCATACTAGCGAGCGCTGTTATTGTACTAACGCCAGCTTTGAGTACATTATTTATATAATACAAAACACTTGGACGCGCCATCATTGACTTGTTCAGAATAAATAACTAATAAATATTAGACAATATCACATAAGTCGCTCTGAACCCAAATAAATAACTAAAGTACTTGTGTTGTGGAAATAGGAAACAACCACGGTTATACACCCAGACCCGAGACAATATAGAAGTTTTCTAAATGGCAGGGACCTCAGCGACACCATGACAACGGAGGTTGTCAAATCTGTCTGCATTGCATATATATCATCGTAAACGGTATAGATATAACTTACGTCAAACTTAGCAGAAATAAAAAGCGCCGAAGCTCCAAGCAGCTGCAATTCCTCTTTCGTCAAATACTGATCCTCAGGTTGTGTCTTTGATGACCTTGTCAGGAACAGATCCACTAACTTCACAGCTAGGTAGAGGGTTTCATGATTCAGTTCAAAACTCTCCTGGACCTCCACCATCCAGTCTACTAGAAGTGCTCTCATCCAAGATGTGATATTATTCATACGTTGGAGATAGTCGTCAATCGCGAATAGTCGCTACAATATAAAAATTAAATATATCAACTACCAAAGTAATTAAACTTTAAAGATTCATGAGTTAATTTTGATCAGCAACAACGCTGCGCTAACTTAATAATTGCAATAAAAGTTGCGGTAACTTTTTGTGATTTTCAAACATTTGTTAATGATATCAAGTTCTTAGGTTTTCGCAATTGTAACATATTGAATTTAATTAGCTGAATAATTTGGCATTAAATACGCAAACTGACAAATTCGAGTTTGCCTAGTGTTGATTGCTGTGTCGAAATGATGATTGTGGATGTGGACTTTTCAGATCAATGTTTTCAATACAAAATATTTATTAATGAAGGAAAAAGAGAACCTATAATGGAGACTATAAATAAAGTACAATGATACGATATCCACCATTACCACCGTAAATACCACTTGAAAGTCATTCATATAATACTCAGTAATAAATGTCAATTATATTTTCAATATCAATTAGGCTCGATTTACATTACCGCGGAACGGAATTGTAAAGAATTTTGTAATCATAGCATAATGTACGTCAATTGTGTAACGCGTGTCTTGCGGGCGATGGCGCGACGCATCCTATGGATTTATCGCTCGCGTCACTTATAAAAAGATGATTTGATCCGCTGTTTGGAACACGGAAATCATACACTATAATAAGCAATGTTGAAGCCTTTTCACCGAAACAGTTTACTAGCTGATATTGTTAGCTAATCCTTGTTTGTTGACCGTATTTTGGTTAAAACCCTTGTTTATAATAAAAATATGAACAAGCTCTTAGGTACACGCCATAGCTTGAAAAAAAAAAACAAGCAAAGTGGTAGAGGTATTGATCGCCGTTTCTTGCACGCAAAGAATCCTTAAGATGGTAATCCATCGCTTGATAAACTGGTTGTGGAGAGTAAGATGGAAAAAAGAAAATTCCGCGATCGATCATCTAGCCGATGGAGTGACCAAGTGAGCCCTCACTGGCCACTTAATAGCAACTGCTCTAAGAGAAGCCGAAAACAGAACTAGAAGGAAAGAAATAGTCCATAAAGTCTCGAAAACCTTTCAGGGTCACAACCTTCACAGCAATGAAGAATACCATTGAGAAGACAAATTTATCTTTAGTAGTAGTCAGTCTGTCCTAGTGGCCCTTGGTGGTAGATCCTTTTTTATTTTTGGTGTACTTACTTCTCTACCCTTTAAATAGTTGAAAATGTCCATAGCATAATTGGAAACTTGAAGTGGATCTGTCCAGTGTTCCTTGTCAAAGTCGACGACTCCCGCAGGGCACTGGTGTGGCACCTCAGTTTCTTTGTCAAGGGATCTGTTTGCAGAGTCATCAAGGTTCACTTTGTCCAACTTCTCACTTATTTTCTTGTAATCTTCTTTTGTCGCGTCATTTGGGCTACTGGAATGTAAGGTTCAAATCAGATGTTATTCAACTGGACTAATGTCCACTTGCACTGAACAATTCATAAGGTACTCTAACACAATGTATTAAGAGTGTCTTTTGCATTGCAAGCATTGGTTTAAGATATATTTAAGTTTAGTGCAAGTGGACGTAAGACCCTCTTTATTGGCTAGAACTTAATAGTGATCGTGATCCCGTAGGCTCACTTTACATCGCCGCAAAACGGAATAGTAGCAGTAGAGCTCCTTCTGAACGAGTTTCGTCCAAGGAAGTACTGCCACCTATTTCTGCCGCCAAGCAGTAATGTTGGGCATTACTGCGTTCCGGTTTTAAAGGGTAAAGGGTGCTGGTGAAATAGCAGGCACATGGGACTTTGTCAACTTATGTCTCAGGGTGTCGGGCGCAGTGGCATTCCTCAGATCTTTGTGATTAACAGTTATGGGTGGTACTGCAATTGTTATGCACAAGCTTGTCGCTTACCAGCAGGTGCGCGACTTGTTCGTCCCGTCACTTGTATCATTACAAAAAAAAGATTGGAAAACCCACATGAGAAATAAACTATAAGTTTATTTTCCCAAATTTGTCCTAAGGGAATCAAACCAGCATCATTACACCTATAGTTTAAAACACGTTCAAAGCGCGAGACTAATATTTATTCAAACAAGTCATTATACCATACCAATTGACGCGGACGCGACTATGAAGTAAAACAGAGTCGCGTGCTGTCAGCGCTTAGTGGGAAATGGCACTAATCGTTTTCAGTTACATTCTACGCTTTTCAAGGCGCGTTGAGCGGTTTCATGTATGCGGAAAGTCACGACGCGTTATTAACTTGACACAAAAAGAATTTGTGTTCCACATATTCCATCGTACCTTAGAATAATAACGCATAGAATGATAGTTTCATATCAAACGAACTGTCACAAGTGAGGCAAAAATCAAATTCATGTAGGCTAGTCTTAGTAGTAGGTTAATTTTCGGTTTTAGTGAACATTTATATAAAATAAAAATACAAGTTGAAACGCGTTACTTCCTTGTGGAATATGAAGTTAGTATCTATTTTATGTTTGTCTGACGTATTTTTACACTCATTTACCGCACATTTCGTCATTTTTAGCTAAAATTCTTGATCTGTTCGCGGTGCAAGTTGACGTTGACCTTGACCACTGAAGGCCCGCCCGCTCGTGTAGGCCCTTTTGGCGCGCTTCTATTTGTCTCACTTAGCGTGTGCGGACTAGGTTTCTATGCGTTATTATTCTAAGCATCATACATTATTTTTCTCCAAAAATGAGCAGCCAAAGCATCTACAAATGAAATAAGAAAAAAAGTCGAGAAAATACTAACATGTTCTCCAAAGCAGTCATATACAGTGAAGGTTCTCCAGAAACATCACTTCTTCCAGATTTTGAAGAATTAGCAGATGTCTGGCTTTGATTTTGATTTTCTTTAGCAAAAGACTTTCGTTCAATATTCTTGAGTATGCCATTTTGAGCTCTAGTTGATATTGGTTTGGGTGGATCCTTTGCAAAGTGCTTTTGGACAGTTTCTATGGCATTGGTGGCCACCCGGTGCAATGTCTTTGTTCTTGATGTTTTGCCATTTAGAGTTGTGGTCTGTGGTTTGATGCTCTGAAAAATTTAATGTGTAGAGAGAACAACAAAGTTTGGAAATTGAAATGATTGTACTGGTATAGTCTATTGAACTTCCTCAACATTAGACACATTGAAATCTACTTTAAGGTCTTCAGAGGCTCATTTTAGTCTACAATGCAAACAATTATATATGTATAGCTAACAATCACTTCAACTTCCAATATAAATCACTAGAACTGCAGAACAGCTGCCCCAGTCTAGATTAAAACAACAAAAAATGGTTTATTAACACAGGGTTATTTGTAAAACACTAACCTCGCAGGATTACATTACTAAAATCATAAATTTTTGTCCATCACTTTTATAGAACGTAAAATAAATTTACCAAAAATATTTTTTTTTAGTTTAGATTGTACTATCTAACACTTCTCAGTACTGTATTAGGTGGTAAGTTCAAAAGTACAAGAGTTCGCCCCGACAACAATCCCGAATTACATTACACCAAATTAAAATCAATCTATTTAAATGTTTTTATTTTTGTATGAAAGTACAATGTGATTAATTATTAAAAGTCATGGAATTAAAATTGTTGTTTATCATGTTAGCAATACTGTTCTGCGAATTTGTTAGTATTTAAGAAATTACCCTATTTAGTATACATATGTCTAATATTTTGAAAGCAATAATTTCTATTCATGATCAACCCTCAAGTTTTACTTTTTCCCTACCAATATTTATAAAAAACGAATACAAAAACGAATACGAAACTAAAGCAATCTGTACAAATAGGTTCATAATTTAATTTGTTAAATTTAAAGTTGATACTTCTGCAAAGCGTGTATTTAATTTTTAAGTTTTTTGAATGTCACATTGTTTGACCACCATGATATTCAATCATTTTTGTGAAATTACTCCACAAGTTTGTTATAATTATTAATACAAAGATCGAACATTAAGAAAAAATTCCTTTGATCTGGCTGGATACAATCCAATGTCTTCTAGCAAACTGTGTCAAACGCCATGCTAACTAACCCACGGAACAAACTAACGGAACATGAATGTTTCTATATGCTTGTTGCAGATCTTTGTTTTTGGTTTTCGAATTATTTGCCGTAGCGCCATCTGGGAGAAATTTATGAAAGCTTTTCTTCAGTCAGCCAGCTACCTTTACAGCTACCAGATTAATGTATTAGGTTTTATTTTCTCTAAATTAAATGAATAGTTTTTTTAATCAATTAATCAAGTGCCAAGTTTGTATCCTCCTTGACTTGTTTATTTCTTAAAACAAATAGAAAATATATATAATATTAGCACATCATACTTGATTAATATAAACACAGATAACTTAGAAAATACAATCATGGTTCACAGTCAACAATGTAAGCTAGATTGAAAAACAAATAAAGGTTACTATTGTTATTTAAAGCTTCAAAGACCCTTCCAGGTAGAACTATCAGGTAGCTAGCTAGCACAAACATTGAGGTGAAAAAAAAATGTTATCTTGTGTGTTTATTATTAGTGTTGGTGAATGATTTAGAAAACAGACATATTCAGAAATTTTTGTAATAGTTACAATTGATAAGTTAATAATATATGTACCACATCAATTGCCTGGTTGCGAACTAAAGAATTCTTTATATTATGAATACCAGTAGCTCTATCCCCAATGGATCCCCAAAGACAGAAAACGACAATGCGGCAGACCAGAGCATCATTGGAGAGGCAAGCTAGTGTTCACTTAAAAGACTGGACCACCGTGGCACAGAACAGAGGGGTGGGAGGTCCGTGCCTAGCAGTGCAGCACCTACTTTTTAAAGCCTATACAAAAAATGGTGGTCTAGCATGTACATAAAGTGCGAGACCTCTATGCCACAATAGCAGTAAATTGCACTTTACGCCAATCCATTATGTCGCTCTCGCGCAAGTTGCGCCCTGTAGGGCTGACACGACGGGACGCGACTTGCGCGAGGGCGACAAACAGCGCGCGATCTGTATGCAAGGATGTCGCGCTTTATGTCGCTCTCGCTCAAGTCGCGCCCTGTCGTGCGACCCCTAGAGGCGATGGGAAAAATCAATAACTGTAAAGCTCCTTGTGAAAGAGTTTGTCCAGGAAAGTACTGCCACCTTACCTATTTCTGCTGCCAAGTAGTAATGTTGAGCATTACTGGATTCCAGTTTTAAAGGGTAAGGTGCTGGTGAAATAGCATGCACGGGACTTATCAACTTATGTCTCAGGGTGTCGGGTGCAGTGGCATTCCTCAGATCTTTGAGATTAAAAGTTCTAGGTGGTACTGCAATTGTTATGGACAGGCTTGTCGCTTACCAGCAGGGGCGCGACTTGTTCGTCCCGTCACTTGTATCATTAAAAAAAAGCTCAGAACACCCAGATGAGAAATAAATTATAAGTTTATTTTCCCAAATTTGTCCTAAGGGAATCAAACCAGGGACATCCTCATCCCAGCACTTCAAAACATTAGGCCACTGAGGTCAAAATTAAATTAACCTACCCATTGATGATGGTCATTAAAATAAAATTGCCCTGACCAGATATCAAGGAACATTTAACTCTAAAATGGTATTTTATCCCAAAGTTAAATCCCTTGGGAACATTAGACGTAATTTTAATATAATGTTAGGTCAACAAAATTGGAAGTTCATTAACCTTAGAAAACTATATATTTTTTTGTGCTGAATGTTTAAGCATTTGGAATTGAAATAGGATATTGTTAAAGAAAATTATATCAATAGCGACAAGAGTCAAGGAAAAACAATGGAGGTGTACCCTCCAAATTTATTATGACAAAAAATTAGGTTTTAACCTTTACTGTTGGGAGCATTTTGGTTTCCACTGTGACCTTCTTGACTGCCATGGCCTTGTCGTTGTCGGGGACGGCGGTGGTCTTGTTGAAGGCATTTGTGATGTCCCCAAACGCCGCCCGCTTCGCTGTGACATCCTTCAACGGACTATCGGCTTTCCTCTTGTGCGGCACCTTTAGGCCGTCCTTGTGTGTTTTCAGAGAAGCTAGTTGCTTACTCCTCGTCGTAATCCCATGACTCAAAATACCATTCAGGTTCTCATTAACGCCAATCGGCTTAGACGCAAACCGTGTTGGCGCCATTATCAATCACTGAAATCAATACCAGATATCACGTGCACTGCGACTAACGTGGAATTTATTACACCAACTCGCACGGTTTATATTATTTATCAACACGAAATAACGAAATTAATGTAAACAAGCGTTTCAAAATCGTCCCGTCTAACGACCAAAAATGGAGGCAAAACAAGCGAACATCGGAACTAGTCAGACAGCGTCAAACGCTTTTCAAAGATCAGTGAATACTCACATTTTCTAGACGGCAGCGGCCGTTTTGATTGATTTTGTAATTAATTTGCTAGTTGCACGTCCCGATAGTTATTTTCTGTTGTAAAATTGCACAAAAATTAACGAAATTCAACTCAACACCGGAATGATGAACTGTCTTCAAAAACCGTTGCACTAAATTTCTATTGGCTCCTGAAACGGCCAATAGCATTACGGCGTTGTTACATTTCTTTCTACGTTGTTTGAACTTTATAGACTTCCCGAAAATATTAATGTAAAATTTGTAAACCACAAAAGAGATGCACGAATTTTATTTTGGACTTACCTGAAAATACAATCACCAAGGAAGTAAAATCCAGTTCGCATATAATTTTTGATGATGTGTTGAATGTATGTACGTAAATTGAAACGTACTGATGCTAGACGTTTATTACCCTACATTTATTTTAAAGCTTTAACGCTGAGCGAAATAGAGATGTTCTTTCTCTTATTTTTATTTATAGCAGTATCTCGCTCACGTACTTTATAAATCAAAACTGCTGTCGTATTCTCAACTTAGCGAATTTATGACGTAAATCGTGATAAACAGATAACAATGGAAAAAATAATGAAATTATTGTTTAATTTGCATTAAATTTCTTGTGATAGTGCTCCAATATTTAGACTTTTTTAATTATCATCAGTGTTTAATTACAATGTTGGGCGGTGTAAGACTAAAAGTGAGCATTACTCATGAAAAAACATGTTTTGCATATATCAGCCCTAAATACAGTACAAACAATGATCAGGTAAGCCCTGTTGCCTTGATATAACTATCATTATATCATATCTTTATTGTAATCCACAAAAGAAGAGCGTAAGTAAATTTTCAGTTATGCATATGAATGTAATTTGTTCAAACTCTTTGTCCAGTGAGATTCAAAGTTGAACAATGTTTAAAAACTAAATATAAAATTTAAATTAAAAAAAATCACATTATGAAATTGATTAAACATATAGTGTTTACTCTTTTGTATGGCAGATTTCCCTGAGAACAATGAGATATTTAGACACATTATCATACAATATATAAAAAAAATGGAAACATCTGAAAGAGTTAACTTGGCGCATTTTGTCATGCAAACACAGACACTGTATAAAATTTCTTTAAAAATTTTTTTGATTGCTGCACATTGAAAATGAAACTTGTTTCTGGACCTAAAATTGTATTTATTTGTTTCACAATAATTCCGTAATAAATTTTGAAAATCGAATTATATTTTTCTTGCAAAATGTTTTTCTTCTTAACATACTTTATTTTTTCATGTGGTGTGATGTTTCGTTTGTCATAGACACATTAAAGGCCCAGTTTGTAAATTTTGAGGCCCAATAAACAAATTGCTCTAATGGCTCTATTTTTCATATCCTTATTTAAAATATATGATGATGCCAGTGCATATATGTTTATTGGTGAGAGCAGTGTGAAAATGTGACACACTGTATACTACATAGTTTATAAATGGGTACAACAGCATGGGTCGATTTTCCATATCCTTTTTCAATAAATTTCCTTATAGTACTTTTAGTCATTTTACTAAAAGCATGTATATAATTGTCTTACAAGCAATGATGGTGATAGAAGAGTCACAGTTTATTTTAGAAATATCCAAAATATTGTGATAAAGCCGTGCTCTTGAATGCTCTTCAAATTATGAACTATTGTACTCAATTTTAAAATGTGTAGGATTTGATGGTTGACTTTAAAACTACTGAAGACTGTCAAGTTTGTTGGTTAAAGCCTTGACGGTTGTTGGAGGATATACTAAGTATGATTAATATTAATAAGTTTAATTTTCAATTGAATGTTTTGTTGTCAGACGTGACACATTTTAAACCCCTCAAGGGTTTTAGTGTCTTAACTACATGTTACTTAAGTTGTAAATTAAATGAAGAATAAATAAATAAATAAATAAATATGAATGTGCCTTTTTCGATCAAGTCATCATTTAGCTTAGCACATCTATATACAAATTTATATCCATATCTCTATATACACATACTGGCCATATACACATACTGGCCTTTCACTAATCTACATATTTCTGAACTAATATAGATATCAAACCAATACTGTTATACAAAAAACAGAACCTTTTAGAAAATTTGTTACATAGTGTTATTATTATAATGTTAATATTATATATTTCACATATTTATTTCAGAATCAATGTGTCCAAGTACTCAATAAAAACAAACAGATACTCCTCTGGGTGGTTTTCAGTAGTAATGTCCAAGAAGGCCAGATAGCCTGTAATCCATTGTTGAACCAACTAGTCGGCTTCGATGAAGGCAGTGACGTATTTGTCTCTCCATATGGAGATATTAAAGTCATTGATGAACTGTTTGTGGATACGGACAGTCCGGATGATCAGGAGATATTGGTATGCATTTCTTATAGGTAAAATAATCAAAAATGTTAATGCTTAGAATACATAATCAGCAAATAAACTAATAAGTGAGTGCGGATGTGGTCTCCCGGGCTGAATGATGCGTCATAAGCGTGGTTCAACTAAATTAGGTATTGTTATACTATAAAGCAAGCACCAAAAAATAAAAGGTTGGGTTGTTATAAATAGCTTTACTTACTAAATTCATGAACACTTTAAGTTTGTATGTAGACAAGAAATAAATGGAAAAGGGATCGAGTCTTTAGTGTGTTAAATATGAAAAAAAAACACAAAAGAAATATTTTTTTAAAATATGTGGCAGCACTTTATTTTATAAAAGACCTAAATATCTTTAGTATTTTCTTGCATTATTTGAAAAAAGAACTATGTACTGGTCTTTTTTGGTAATTTTAAGTAAAAATAGTTTATTTTTACTTAAAATTACAAAACTTTTCTTCTACATAAATACGCTGCAACAGAAACTAACTGCCTATACACATAATAGAAATGTGGAACAAAATTCAATACAATAATTCCGCCATTTATACTGTTCCATGTATTCAAATTCAAATTCAAAATAATCTTTATTTCATAGGTAAGCATTATTACACTTGAAATCGTCACAATATTAAACTCTACCGCTCATTCGTAAGGCAGATTCCCCTGAGAAGAACGAGCAAGAAACTCTAGGGGTTGCTCTTTGTAAATAACATTTACAATATTTCTTTATTAATTGAAACATCAGAGATCGAGACTACCTCCATGAGCTAAACGGGTTACTACCACGGATTTTTGTCATCCAAGTACGCAGAAGTTGTATAATAACCTTTAGTATAAAGTTTTTGTTTCACTATAGTTTTAAACCTCGTGTAAGGCAAATTTTGTATATCAACCGGAATCTTGTTATAGAAGCGTATACATTGCCCCTTAAATGATTTTTTGACTTTGTGAAGACGACTATCAAGAAAAGCTAGTTTATTTCTATTCCTCGTATTAATGTTATGTCTGTCACTATTTTTCATAAATAAATTACTATTCCTTTTAACATAAATTACATTCTCATAAATGTACTGTGAGGCTAGTGTAAGAATGTTAATTTCCTTAAACTTATCTCAAAGATACTCTGGGGCCCAGATTGTAAATTGCCCTAACTGCACGTTTCTGCAGGACAAAGATTCTGTTGATATCGGCGGCATTACCCCAAAGCAAAATGCCGTATGTCATTAGACTGTGAAAGTAGCTGAAGTAAACCAATCTAGCGGTTTCGACGTCTGAAAGTTTCCTTATTTTTTTAATCGCGTACACTGCAGAGCCGAGCCGTTTTGATAACTTACTTATATGGGGATCCCATTGCAATTTAGCATCTAACGTTATACCTAGAAATACAACTGTATCCATAAGATTCAATTTTTCGTTTCTAACTACAATGTTTGTAACCGTCTCTCTAACATTGGGTAATGTAAATTTCACACAATTTGTTTTTTTCTCATTAAGAAGTAGGTTATTAACAGCAAACCAATCAACTTTAGATATAGCATTGTTCACATCGTCGTAGGAACATTGGTGCCTTTTAACTTTAAATAATAAGGAAGTATCATCAGCAAACAATACTATCTCATGTTTTACACCCTCCATAAGGCTAGGTAAGCCATTAATATAAACTAAAAACAAAAATGGGCCTAGAATTGAACCTTGAGGGACACCCATGCTAATTGCAGATCCTGACGATCTCGTACCGTTAACATCGACCCTCTGTACTCTACCACGCAAATACGATTTAAGAAGGTCGAGATCACGTCCCGCCACACCATAATGGCGAAGTTTCCTGACCAGTGTGTCATGGTGCACACAATCAAAAGCTTTGGAAAGGTCACAGAATACACCAATAGCATCATGTGAGACTTCCCATGCATCAAATATATGATTAATCAACTCGACACCAGCGTCGGTTGTAGAGCGACCCCGAGTGAAACCAAATTGTTTATGAGACATTAAGTTATTACTATAAAAATGTGCACACATCTGATTTAGAATAATTTTTTCAAATATTTTACTGAGAGTTGGTAGTATTGATATAGGTCTGAAATTGGTGGGGTCAGAAATACTACCAGATTTAAAAAGTGGAATAACTTTACTTTGCTTCATGAGGTCAGGAAAGACACCATCATCAACACATTTATTAAAGACACAGGCTAAATAAGGCGCAATACAATCAACTATAGAACTAATTACTCTGACTGAAAGACCATCAAGATCAGCAGTATTTTTTATGTTTATAGACTTAAAGGCTTTAACAATATCGTTTGGAAATACATGACGGAACCTTAAATTAGTGATACTAACTGCATTATTTTCTTTTAGTAAGGATTCAGCGGCGGTGGGAGATGAATTTAACGACTTAGTAGTCAAAATTGGAATGTCAGTAAAAAAATTTTCAAATATTTTAGCAACTTCTGCGTCTGTGTTTACAATTTTGTCATTAAATCTTAGTTGAAAATCTAAGTTACGAGGTTTGACCTTTCCAGTTTCGCTGTTTATAATATTCCAAGTCGCTTTTACTACATTCGCGCTTCTTTTTATTTTATTATTTATAAACATTGCTTTGGCTGCAACACAAACACGTTTAAACATTTTCGAATATTTCCTAACAAAATCATTAAAACTGTTACTAGTGTTATAAGTCCTTTCATCGTAAAGATCATATAGTCTTTGTCTACTTTTGTGAATTCCTACAGTCGCCCAATCACTAAATTTCAATGAATTATTAATAGTTATGATTTTGGACCTAAAAACGTTATCACGTTCACTTTTGACTATGTTGAAAACTGAATTATACAATTTATTGGGATCGTTAACGTACGGAAGTTCAGTTAGTTTAAGCATTACATTATTTCTATAAGCTTTAAGTCGACCATTATTTATTGTATTGTATATTAAGTACTTCATTAAAGTTTAGGTTCATAACATTTTATGCCCATTTAGATCTCTGACCATCAGTGATCATACTCGCCGAGAATTGTTGGTTCCTTGTTCTCTCAAGTGGTTTCCTACGGCCTGTAATGTCACGGGTCGCCCTGCACCGCGCCCGTTTGGGCATACTCGCAGTACAGACAATGGTGGCGCGGAGTCCGATGTCTCGAGTTCTGCCCTTTGAAGCTACCGAGAGTTACAGTCCATACATGTACTCTTTTCCAGACGCACTGGCGTGGTACGACCCGTGATGTCCCGAGCAAAGTCACTGTAATGACAAAAGTAAAGTCAAATGTTTATTATGAATTTACAGGAACACAATGCCGAAGTTCTCCAGCTCCGTGTATTAGATCAATTACGTCTTGTAGCAGCCAATCAGAAGGCAGTCGTATGGATATCTTCTTCGATGCCAATCATATTTACTCCAAAACAGACTGGTTTATTAGTCAATCAAAGCCGTATTGTTGTTAAAGTAGACGCTTTTAATAGCATACATGGCTCTAATCGTAAATCATCAATAATACCTGAACAAAAAAATATTGAATTTAAAAATATCGGCATAATAATTGACGGTTTGCTACGTCCCTATCTGCATATACCTGAAAGAAAAGTTTTGCGAGTTCTACCTATTGATAGTGATGGTAAAAGAAACTTGATACATCCATACATAGTATTTTTACATGAAGATTTGTTAGAAAAATATAAAGATTTCACTGTCATTCTGGGTACTATGAAGACCATTCCATCTATAATTAATGAAAAAGACGATGATTGTGAGAATAATAATAGTCAAATTAATGATTTATGTGTTGAAATAGTTCCTGTGAATTGTGTGGTATTTAGAAGTCTGTGCAGAGAGGTTTATAATAAAAACATACCAACCATTCTTATACCGAAATCACTAAATGCTATTATTAATATTGAAAACGGTTCAAGAGTTATACTGACAATTATTGGAGACAAAATTGAGCAACCAGACCATATAGATATAATCACATATTCTGAGCAAACACAAACTGAGATTGATGTGATAGACAAGTTTAAAAACTGTGTGATAGATAGCACACATTCTGGTAAAAAGTTCCTAATAAACGACGCCATGATTAAACAGAATGCACACATAAGTCAAGGGTTTTTGCAATTTAAATTGAAACCGGAAAAGTTAAAATATACAATGCTCAATTCAGAATCTTTTAGACATTGTACAATATCAGCGAAATGCCTAACAGATGCAGATTTAGAACTGCCTAAACCTACAATGTCCAATTTGGAGTATGATTACAAAAATTATTGTAGAACAATGAAATCTATGGAGTCGTTAGTTGAAAATGTTTTGTTGCATGTATATTTTGAAATTCATAGAGAAGCTAATTTCAAGGGTGCTTCTGAAATAAAGAGCAATGTGTTGGTTACTGGTAAGTGTACATAACAACGCACACACTCAACATAGCCCCACACTAGGAAACCCTGTATCACGGGTGCCATAGACACACATAGACAACCACAAATTACACCTAAACTCACGAGAGAAATAAATATAGGCCATACAACTATTTCTACCGGCCCGGGAACCGAACCCGAGACCTCTGCGTGGCAGTCCGGTATGGTAACCGTTCGGCCACTGAGGCAGTTTTTTTTTAATAATAAAGTGTAGTTTTACCTGTTTTAATTTACAAAGTTACAAAGTTCTACTTGTAGTGTATGTACATAATTAACCATAGTAAATTTTTTTGTAAACGCCAGTATAATATTGTTAATTCTTACGTAATGGTAGTCTTTTTTTTCTTATTTCTTGGCACTATGGCGTCCAGCCTTTGGCCATATGAAATTTCCATTGTGTTGCCAATTTTTTAAAATTCTTCCAAGCATAAAATTTTCTTCCTTCTTGAGACTTCAGAATATCATTGTCGTTGTAGTTGTTGTTGTAGAACTTTGTCGTGGGTTTTAGATATTAATATGAAATTAAAAACGGGGAAAGGAAATCGCTGAATAAAAATAAAAGCAAACGGAATTTTGGAAAGGCGATTAACAGGATAGGGTAGGTAGTATCTATAGGTAAATTTAAACAAAGAAGGATGGAAATCATGAAAGGAAATTGAAATGAGATAGTAATAGCTGAAAAGAATGATAATATCATAATAATCTAAACTTTAATATAATTTTTCCCTATGAACGGAATAATTATTATGCGATAATAACAAAGGAATAGATGTTGGTAAAGGAATTTGTAATAAATTATAGATTGAAAAAACGAAGCACGGTCATATTTTGGAAAGGAAAAGAGTCTTAATTTCATACCTACTTAATTCAGTAGCCTTTCACCGAGGCGACGCTTTGGATGCGATGTACATCTTATTCATTTGGTCAGGAATTAATCTCTTGTTCAAACTCGCTATACTGCCCTCCTTATCATTTACAATGCGTTTGCATTTTTTTAACTTTTGAGGTATTGGTAAAGCTTTTTTCTTTGAAACATGTCGCTGATTTTGCTTTCAATAAAACTGGAACTAAATAAAATATAAGAAAACCGCTTATAGGGGTTTGTAGATCTCGTTTTGCTGATTTCAAACATGTTAGTAACACAAGTTTCGCTTAAAATGTTGATGCAAAACAATGGTACCGATCTGAGGTCTAGTACGCCTAAATGTTTTAAAGTCAACCTTGTCTAACCTGTTTTAGGTCTCAGTGGAACGGGAAAATCGGCATTCTGTCATATAGTTCAAAAAGAACTGATAGTCTGGTCCCACATCCTCCACTGTCGATCATTAAAGGGCCGAAAAGATATTCCCGAGGTATTGGGCAAGGCCATATTGATGTGCCAAGAACATAGCCCGGCTGTGCTGATTTGTGATGATTTGGATTCGTTAGTCCCTCCAAATATGGAAGGCGCTTCGCCACAGGATATTGCTTATTATCAGAGGTAATACAATTCATTAAAACTATTGTACAATTGGGATTGTGTTTTATAGCATAGTTCATGATTTAACGGCCACTAAAATCCTGATTCAAGGCGCTGTTACACGAGCTTGATTTTGATTGCATCAGGGAACTGCAAAAAATAGAGTACATGGTTTAGACGAATCATCGATTCGATTTCATCACACCTGCCTACTTGGCAGTACGTCTGGCGTCTAGCCAGCATAACAGCGAGTTGTACTATCAGTTGCGACAGATCTAAATTCTAAATGCTATTATTTTGCAGTCGAAATTCAGCTCGTATAACCTTAGTACTTAAATACTATTTTAGAAATAGAATCATAATCACAACAAGACAACACTACATATGTTGCTCCGATCCTAAAGTAACTAAAGCACTTGTAATTAAATTTGTATTGAATTGATGTTCAATTATTTTTTGTGAAATGACTCCACTAGTTTGTTATAATTATTAATACAAAGATCGAACACTTAGAAAAAAATTCCTTCGATCTGGCCGGATTCGAGCCGACGACGTCTTCTAGCAAACCAAACCGTGACAGACGATATGCCAACTAAGCCACGGAACGAACCAGCGGACCTCACGAATGTGCTTGTTGTCGGATCTTTGTATTTGGTTTTCAACGACTTTTTGACAAACGATCTATGACAAATCTATGAAAATCGATGGATATTTTTCTAAGAGTTCGATTTTTGCATTAATAATTATAATAAAGCTTTTGGTTCATGGAAATCGAATCGAAACAACGATGGTATCACAAACACCCAGACCCGATACAATATAAAAAGTTTCTTGACTTAAATTGACCCGGCCCGGGATCGAATCCGGGACTTCAGAGATGACGACACCCTTAAAACCAGTGTGCAAGCCATTCGACCACGGAAGTCGTCAGAAAAACATTTATTTCGTAAAAAAAATGCGCACAGTACACACACGCTAAGTAACTACAATGCTTGGCAACTGCAACACAAGACTTAAAATAAATGGAAAGTACAACATGCTTCATTATAGTGCACGCTAATAAATATTGCGAATAACTAAAATTATTTAACGAATAAATAGTAACAAGCCTAATAGAGTGAGTGTACTGTGCAGTTACGGAATCCGTCATCCACTCAGATTATTGTCGTGTCACTGAAAGTGCGACACTGGTTTACTGTGATCCGGTAACAAAAAATACACGTGGCTGGAACTTAGCAGAACATTATCACACGAACCACGCACCTTTTCGATATAATTAATTTAATATTAAATATGTATACATATTTCATTGCTTAAAATTGCAAAATAACTAGGGTAATAGGGTAATTTTTATTTACATTTCATTATTATTAAATAAACAATTAATAATTAATTAACCAGTAACAAAATGCAAACATCCTACTCAACTTTGACCTGTTAGTTAACATGTTTTACTACGAACTATATAAGATTTTACATGAATTATTCCTAAGTTACTTAAACCGCCTAACACGACAAATTCGTCATTGAAATAATTTATCACTAAATTTAAATTTGTGCTTTAGTTACCAAATATATGTATCGACGAATCGGTGACGTAGCCGATGCAAGTTAATTTTCCATGGCAATGCAGCAAAAGTGTTTTGTAGAAAAGGCGTAAGCGCCGTTTTGAAAAATTTAAGTTTTGGCGAATGTCTTAAAATATTTACATCCTGTTTTAAATTCAATTTTAAAACTTAGACTTAATTAAAACAAAAATTTAATTTTATAATTGAAGAAGTGGCGCTTACACCTTTTCTACAAAATTTTGACGATTATAGCCTTACATTATACATATATAGCCGTGGTAACTTAACGGTTTTACCTACTCCTGTCAAGCAGAGAGTCGTGGATTCGAATCCGGGTTTGCAACTCTTGAGTTTTAAATTTTTATTGAATTGATATTCAATTATTTTTTGTGAAATTACTCCACTAGTTTGTTATAAGTATTAATAAAAAGATCGAACACTCAGAAAACATTCCTTCGATCGGGCCAGATTCGAACCGACGTCTTCTAACTTACTGTGCCAGATGCCATACGAACTAAGCTACTTTTGGTATAGCGTAACTATAACTCTTGAGTTTTTCAGAATCTATGTGCGAATTTTTATTTGAAATTTACCAAGGGTTTTTCAGTGGAGGAATACATCGAATAATAAGGAAAAGAAAGAAAAATAAGGAACCTGTAGTCCAAACAAACCGTCTCATTCTGAGAAGACGCCTGTGCCTAACAGTGGAACTCTATATTATAGGCTAAATGTTATTATTATATTTACATTGTACAGCTACTCCAATTCATCCCTGTTCCATTTCAGGTTAGCGGTTGTAATTAAACACTTGTTACAAACGTGTTCTGGAGTTTGTGTAGTCATGACGTCACTCAGCATTAAGGAATTACACCCTATTTTGCGGCAATTCAGTGGGAAACCACTATTCACTGCGCACTTTGACATTCCTGAGCCAGACCAGGCAAGTGAACGACGAAGATTCCATTTGACCCAGTAGACGAGACTCCCTAGAGTAAGCAGGACAAACCCCTTAACACTTGAAAGACAATATTGTATGGCTCTTTAGTCTGCTGGAAGCTTTCCTCGTTCAATCCCCACAGAAATAGTGTGGGACATGCTAGATCCGTGGCATCTTAGGGTACACAAACTGCACCGAGACATGCTAGATAAAGTAAAGGACATGTACATACCGGGACTGGACACTCCTGGTCTACAATACTAAGTATGGCCGATATAATCCAATGGTTTACAGTAATAGAATTGGTGAAGTAGATTTTATCATCATAAAAGAAAAACGTGTTAGTAAACGATGTGGTACACCCAAGGGAACATGTTATGTAATAAAAATATTTTTTATGTAAATATAAGTATTGCACTTTTCTGTGAGCTGTAAATTAGCTACATGACATAAAATAATTGTATAGATCTTTAAGATATAGTGACTATGGGAGTGCACCCTTTTAAACAAAAAAAGAATTTTCAAAATCGGTCCACAATTGACGGAGAAATCGGAAAACATACATGCAGCCGAACATATAACCTCCTCCTTTTTTTTGAAGTCGTTTAAAAACTATAAATAAATTATGAAATTTATTGAATGTCACGATGTTTGATCACCATGGTATTCAATTAAATTATTTGAATTACAGTTATTAAAGCATACAATTATTAAAGCAACATCTCTAGTCAGGTACTGGTAGCTGTAACGTTACCTGCCTGAAGCGAAGAAAAGCTTTCATAGATTCTCACAGATGGCGCTACTGCAAAAAGTCGTTAAAAACCAAAAATAAAAACCTGCAAGAGGCACATAAAAATTGTAAGGTCCGTTACTTGGTTGGCATAGCGACGGTTTGCTGGATGACGTTGGTTCGAATCCAGCCGGATCGAAGGAATTTTTTCTTAGTGTTCGATCTTTGTATTAATAATTAACAATAAAGAACTTTCCATTCTATTCTATATTACACTACATCGTAATTTCTCTAATTAAAACAAAGATGAGGCCATTTTTAACTCATTTCAAATGTCATATAGGAAGAGCGTTCAGAGCTCTTTAAGCATCTTCTAAACGAGAGAATCCGAGCGGAGTTCGAAATCCTGGACGATGACGTCATCAGACTCGCGATGGACACCGCCGGGTACACCGTTCGTGACATCACGGATTACTTGAACAGAAAGATATTTAAAGCAATTAAAAAAAAGAGTGAGTAAATTTGCATATTATTTTAATCCTAAAACCAAGCAAACATGGCGCAAATATCTTCGCCATATAAGACAAATGGCATATAATTGCTCTACAGCTTATCTGCGAATCAGATTACGTTGCTTGTAGCCGAATAAAAAGTTTAATTTGTTACATGACGGGCTGTAAAATGACATTTCAATTAGGAATTCTAAATTGTTGCTGACTTGGATGCTCTGGTAGAGCAAAGAATCTGGGCCGCAGAGCGTCTTTGAGAGATATGTATAAAGAGATTAACATTCTTACACTAATGTCACAGCACATTTATGAAAATGTTGTTTATGTTAAGAAAAATATTAATTATTTTATGAAAATTAAAAACATACATAATATTAGTATGAGGAATAAAAATAAACTACTTGTTCTTGAAAATCATTTCACTAAGTCTTTAATTCATTTAAGAAGCAATGTATACGCTTCCATAATAAGATCTGGATTAATATTCAAACTTTGCTATTTACGAGGCTTAAAACTATAGTGAAACAAAAACTTTATACTAAAGGTTATTATGCAACTTTTGCGTACTTGGATGACAAAAATCCGTGGTAGTGAAGATATTTAAATTAAATATTGTAATCATTGACTTACAAATAAATGGACGACGGGTCTAATACAAAAACCACAAAAAAAATGTCCCAAGTCAACCTATTTAAACGTAGTGACATGTAAAGGAATAGGAAAAAGCTAAAACGTTGAATTTAAATTGTAATGTCATCGCAGTACTGTCTAATTTTGCTTGCTTCGCTGTCAGTCGAACAAACGAAGACTAAAGCGTGAATGACGCTTTGTATACGATTTTAACGCCCTATAAGTTCGGACACTTTTTAGCGCGGACCCGACGTCCATATAATTGTAAGTCAATGATTGTAATGATAAATGTATATTTGCAAAGAGCAACCCCTAGAGTTTCTTGCTCGTTCTTCTCAGGGTAATCTGCCTTGCGAATGAGCAGCAGAGTTTAATCAGTATGACAATTTCAAGTGTAATTTGCTTATCTATGAAATGAAGATAATTTGACTTTCACTTTAGTGCTCCACAATATATTGCGTTGCTCTGGTATTCATAGTACAGCGTATTATAGTTTGAAGTCAGGTATCGGTAATCGGTATTCCTTTGTCTGACATATTATTATTATTACATTAGAACACAACTTCATAATACACTTGGCACAACATGATCCCATTGTGTATTTCTTTTGCAGAATCTCACCCAAATGAACCAAAGCCACGGCTAGTGGAAGATATAACTAAGGACGAGGAGAAAGCGAACACGTTCGACATCTGGGGCCCCGTTGGTGGCCTTGAAGAAGTGAAGCAGGAACTCACTGAGTGTATTTTTTGGCCCATCATGGTAAGAAAAATGGTTTGCCTATCAACTATGCATAGCAAGCCGGAATAACTTTTTTATAAAAAAAAAACTGACCTCAAAAGTTCGTGGAATTACAAGTTTTATTGAAATCGGTTACCGTAAAACAAAATTATCAAAATTGGTTCACAAATGCCAAATGTTCAGTAATTGCGAAAAAAATAGTCTTATGTAACAATACGGAACTGAGAACCTCCTCCTTTTTTAAGTCGGTTAATAAAACTTGAATGGATGAATGAACGAACGAACGAAATAATTAATGAGTGGTATGAAAACGTAACAGTAATCATCATAAACTTTGGATTTCAGTATCCAGCACTCTTCCCGTCTCAATCTTGCGGTATTCTCTTATATGGTCCTCCGGGCACGGGTAAATCTCACATTGGGTCTTGCCTCGCGCGGCTTCATAACATGAGCCTCATTGCTGTTAAAGGACCAGAGTTGTTGTCCAAGTATATCGGACAGAGCGAGAAGGCGGTTAGGGATGTTTTTGACAAGTAAGTGCATTTTTCGGGCAGCAATTTTACATTTTTATGTTAATTTTTAATTTAGATAGATAACACTTCTATTCGGCACAAATACAAAAGAAACAAAACATTTATAACCACTTCACAAAGTATAACATAAAAGCACATAGAACATACATTATTAATTTAATACACATTGATATAAAACACATACTGTGATAAAAACAAATACGGTCAGAGAAACAAACAGACAAATACTATGAGAACTAAGAAAATTTGATGTACCTATCTATGACTACAGTTTATGCTGAAATGGCCCTGACTCAGACCGAGAGAAGTCAAACAGTGCTGGTTTTCTGCCAGTACTATAATGCTGAGCGATCGCAGCCCATGCCACCAAAGTGCATCACACGCAAATACATATACCAAACTCTAAAACTATATAAATGTTTTAAATAGCTTCTAAAACTGTTAATATTATACTTACGATTATTGTACAGTGGGGAACGGTTGCTTCTCAATTGAGAGGTCAACGGTTCGAAACCTGTGGCGGCATGTGTTTGCGATTTTAATTCCTAAGTTCCTCGGTGAAGAGAAGTATCGTGATAAAACCAGCATGTCGAAGAAGGTTCACAGCTCTTGGAAAACGTGTGAAGTACTAGCATTCGGCCTGCGTGGCTGACTATGGCTTAAATCTTCAGTCTGTGTCCAGTAAAAATGCATGAATGGAAATAAAATGCAAATTAATAAATACAAATCGATATGTAGTTCCACTACCACAGACTATGTTGCGTGTGTGCGTTATTATTAAAAAAAATTGTGTGTAAGTTTCCTCGTGATGTCTTCCTTCATCGAAAAAGTCATGGTAAATTTCAAATTAAATTGCGCATATGAATTCTGATAAATTCAGAGGTGCTAGCCCGGATTCGAACCCACGACCCGCTTGAGAGGTGGTAGGTGAAGCCACGCTACCACGCTACCACGCTACCACGCTACCACGGCTACCACGGCTATAGTAAATAATATTTATGTTAGTGTATCGTGACATTAATTTATTTTGTTAGAAAACTTGCTTTGCCTCATTAAGAATTGGTTTCATCGAAATAAGAAATAAATCTATATCATCATTATCGATATCAACGGAACGCTGACTGGCGGCCGCCATTACAGGCGTGTTTTTGTCTTGTTTGGATTTATAATGAAAGATCTTATAGTATAATTTATAACAGTCACTAGAGTCTCATTTCTATGTCTACTTGCAAAATCTCATATAACTTTTTTTATAAAAAAAATCGATCGCAAAAGGTTTTAGAATTACATCAATTTGCCAAGTTTTATTGAAATCGATTAACGGTAAGTGAGTGAAATTCAACAAACGGATTCATCCACTAATTTTCCACCCTTAGAGGTGGACTATTTTCTTCATAAAGAAACGAATCATCGAAACTTTTTGTAATTTGTGATTGCTTCACAAAAAAACCCGTATAGGTTGCTAACACCCAGGTCCAAAACGTCCAGGTAATTAAACTATGTTTTATACATAATTATAATATAATAATAATAATAATAACGCACACACTCAACATAGCCCCGCACTAGGGATACCCTGTGTCGCGAGTGGCATGGACACACACGTAGACAACTACAAATTACACCCAAACTTACGAGAGAAATAAATGTAGGCCATACAAATATTTCTCCCGACCCGGGAATCGAACCTGGGACCTCTGCATGGCAGTCCGGCATGGTAACCGTTCGGCCACGGAGGCAGTTAATATAATTAAGAATAAAATTAAGTCCCGAACTAAAACTCAAATAAAAAAATATTATGAAAAAAATTGCTGTTAAGTACTTAATATTAAGTAGTAGATAGTATGTTTAGTAAACACTCCTCTCACACACACACTCCCAACACACTCACACGTAATTCACCAATACTATACATACTGTCAAAGACAAAATGCAGGCCAATAGCATTGCGTATTCGATACAGTACAAATATAAAGCAAAAATAATTAACCGCGTAACACACAAATAAAAAAGAAAAAAACTACAGTCAAATTAAGAACCTCCTCCTTTTTTTCAAATCGGTTGAATAATGGGTTGATATTGTGTTTGTTGTGCAGGGCAGACATGAAGCGGCCGTGCATACTTTTCTTCGATGAGTTCGACAGCTTGGCGCCCAAGTAAGTTACCGTTGTAAGTACTGGTGATAGCTTCATTTGTTCTGAGTTTTTACAATATCTGACGATGAAAGGTAAACAGTTTAAAATGCAATATAAGGTACCTGACAGTGGCGATTTGAAAAGTATAACAAAGCAAAAAACACCACGAGAATGTAGCGAAATGTTGTAATACGCGAAGTGTAAAAAAGTGTTCAAATCCGGTCCGGGGATCACCTCAATGCTGTTAAAATAATAAAATAAACAAATTCAATCACGCTTTTATTAATTTTACTACTGCTTTTTATTAAGCGGACCTCAATGTGCTTGAATTTCGAATGGTCAGTAGCTTTAAAAGTTTGGAAGACGCTGTCTTAGAAATGTGGTATCGAGACATTCCCACGTAAGCTGTTGTAAGTGAAACTAACATTTTTTGCTTTTTAACTTAAATATCGTTTTTTTAAAAATATTATAGGTTCCATATGTAAAAGTAAAGAAATTTCTTAGTATTATTGGAAACTATAATATATACAAAAAAGGATATATTTTGACTTACAACAACTTACGTCGGAGGTATCGATCTTTAGTCTGTCTTTTTTGAAGACGAAGTAACATGACATTTGTAGGGTTGCCAGTTTCATAAAATTTTAAAAAGTCGTGTAGTTGTTGTCGACAATTTTATCGATGGATTATGAAAGATGGTATAATTTTGCCAAAAATGTCTGAATTCTGAATGTTACAAGGTTCTAATGATACTAATTACGTTATTGCTCTATATTCCTATTTTGACTATTGGCCTGGTGGTATTTAAATATTTTTTATTCATAATACATTTTAATTAGAACAGGAAGATTTGGTTATCTATATTGAATTAAAATAATCTTTCTGTTTGTGTTTTAACGACTTTTTTGGAGTAGCGCCATCTGTGAAAAATCTATCAAAGCATTTCACTCAGCCAGGTACCTTTACAGCTACCAGAAGCTAAGTAGAGATGTCGCTTTAATAATTGTAATTGTATATGTTTTATATCTAAAGAGTTCAACTTTTCCAGACGTGGTCACGATTCAACAGGCGTAACTGATCGCGTTGTAAACCAGCTGCTTGCGAGAATGGACGGCGCTGAGGGCGGAGCCCGAGGGCCCGTGATCGCGGCGACGTCGAGACCTGATCTTGTCGATCCGGCTTTGTTGAGACCTGGAAGACTGCAGAGGCATATTTACTGCGCTCTGCCTGACGAGGTACATTCGATGACAGATGCTTATCCGTCTAAAGTGAAAGCTAGCTGAAATGGTCACTCTATAGTCAAACTAAAGATTATTCAGACTGCACAAAACAAACTGATTAAAGTACTTTTTAATTATAATTATTTAACATCAACAAATAAAATATACACAGATACCAAGTTATTGAATATTAGGCAAACATACAAATATTAAACTTGCATATTAGTTCGTAAAATATTAAATAAAACTATACATACTGAAATTACTATTAGCAAAACTAAGCAAATATCAAAGTTGAGACCAAGACTCCACAAAGAACTTAAAATACGCCCTGCACGTACAAATTACGGAAAAAAATGTTTGTTAAATGAAGGTGTCACTATTTATAACAAATTACCAAAAGACATAAGAGAATCAAAAACAATAACGACGTTCAAGCGATTGCTTAAATAAAGCACACTTATTAAAAACTTGTTAAATAAAATAATATGAATAATAATAAAAATTTAATACTACTTGAATAACATAAAATAAAATTAATACAACGAACAAAACAAAAAGAATATATATATATATGGGAGTATGTATGTATATGTATTTATTTATTGTATATGAATATGAATATATGTATATATATATATATATATATATATATATATATATATATATATATAT